CAGGAAAACTGTTTGCATCAAGGGGCAGCCTACACCCAATGCCACTAAAAACGATGCTTTTTTTATAAATAAAATTGGTAGTAGACTGAAACTATGCATTTCTGAGTCAGCAAGTGGACAGGTGGGTAAGCAACATCAATACTCCTCATGGGCAACTACGCAAATTTAAACACACGTGCATTTCATCTATTTTTTACGGGCACATGTCCTGCTTCAGTGCACAGCGCCTGGTTGAATTTTGGCATTTTTGGAAACAGTTAGCTATAAGCAATGCCTGGGATAATCAATAGCAAGGTCATCACGTTTATTTAAAGATGAAGTCCACTTGATTCAAACAACCATCAATCTACTACAAACTCTTTCCTCTCTCCACCACACCCCTTCCAAAGGAATCCGAGACACGTGCTGCAACGTATGAAGGACACTTGCTTCCTCGGTAGCACCATTAGATTTCCTCACTTCTAAGCTTTCCTGCCTGTATGAAAGCAGGTATAAACTGGAAAAAAAGGCAATAAACTACTACAGCTCTTCAGTAAACGGTGCAGCCTGCCCAACTGTGCACACAACACCACAAGCTCTAGTAATTAATTTCCAAGTTGTAACTTGGATTAATTCTAGTTCAACCTGATAGCTGGCTTCATTCAATGCAGATTTTTTACTTTTCCAACTCCTGTGCTATTTTCATACCTGCACATTTTCTTCCCAGAAAATTTTCAAACGTCTCCAGAATCATACACTGAAAGGCACGAAACCTTATCTTTGAGTGTTGAAACCTTGGGTACTTATTCATATATTCAAATTATTCCCAAAGGATTCCTGATACAAGTCAGGCTTTGTGGGCAAACACCTCGACTGGCAGTTTCTGCTGGTGATTACCAACCTGTTGCTACTGTTGTTGCCCCAGCAGTAAAGCATCTCTGTTATGCATCCAAAGGGTCCACACTTGGATTTGAACAAGGATTCAGGCACAAGGCATGGAAGTAAAGTTGTTCTTGATTAATTTTAGAGATGAGCATTCATCATTCCAGAAAAGGAAAGTTTATTCCTGTTTTATTTCAGAAACCAGAACAATTTCAGGTGTAAGGAAACCCTAATGATATGATGATGCCTGCAAAGACATTTCCTAGTCGTTGTAGCTTAGTCCAGAAGCCTTGGATGACAGCCAGAAGTATTTTTAAAGTCATTTAAAGTGCTTAAAAAAATATGAGGATAAAGTCCCTCTCATCACACAGTGCAGTTGCTTCATGACTGTATCAGAGGTTCTTTTGATGTACTGTCAACTATGATCAATGGCTGTTGACACCATCACTGGAAGAATACCAGATGCAGGAGGAGCAAAGCAATCCAAAATAGCAGAAGCCGTACCATTCAAACTAGCAGAAAACAACGGAAACTGAACATAAAAACCATAAATTCTACATTAAATTTATAATCACATGGATTAAAATGAAGGTCTTGTCTGGTCAGTGTAATCTGTGGTGTGAATGTAAGGAGATATAACTCGACCAATATAAAACCACGGGGGTTATCCTACTGTAGAAATTGTCCTCTACCACCGCCATCTATTTTAATGTTGCCTCATGGGTGCTTTAAACTGAGCCAAAAATAAAATGTCCACACCAGAAAAAATGATGAGGTACACCAGCATGACTGGAAAAACTCTCTTACACAGAGAGGGCCTGGACTTATTTTTATCCTTTAGACTGCTGAAGCAGTTGTAGTTCGGATGCTGTAGAAGCACGAGACACTGCCCACCAAGACAGTCTTTGAGATGAGCATCTCAATTATCTGCTGGCATTTTAAATCATGCGGCCATTTTTACTAACTCATCCAACACAATGCCTAATTCATCTGAAACTCTGTTCAGATTAACAATAAATAAAAGAACTGCTGGGTCTAACTTCTTTGGTGGTTTAAATAATTTTTAAAAGCACGCAAAATATGGATTATCTGTAGGAAGACTAATGGAGAAGGGCTGAGACCCAGAATATTTTGACAGAGACCTGCTCTGCATTCTCCCATGCATGCACAGCTCGCTCCTGCCATGTGTGCTCAGACCCCTCCTAAGAGAGCAGCCGCTGCACAAAAGGGAGCTTGCAGAATGCAGGGCATTTTTAAATGAAAAGAGGGTAGATTTAGATCAGACATAAGGAAGAAATTCTTTATGACAAGGGTAGTGAGACACTGGGACAGGTTGCCCAGAGGAGTTGTGGATGCCCCATCACTGGAAGTGTTCAAGGTC